TGATGCCATAAAAGAGTTTAAGTATGTTGACCGGAAACGACCTTTGACTTTAATTTAGTTACCTGAAATTCTACTCACATGATAAGGGGTACTTGACAATCCTTTAGTGTAAGTTTCATTGAATAAAAACTGATACTTTCAAAATTATATTGACAATACAAAAATTTAACCTGAGGTTAAGTTTTCGATGATGATGCCACAACTTAGTCTAAGTCTGTTGACCTGAAATGACCTTTGACCTTGATATTGTGACCTGAAATTCTGCTCATATGTCCTTCGTTATATGACTAGACATCATGACATAGAACTAGTCTAGATCTGATTTACTTTACTAAATATTTACACCCTTCGCCTCGGAATGCACACTAATTACCGGTAGGATAATGTAAAGGTGAAGTGTAAAAAAGCATATTGCTTGTTTGTTTACTATATTTTTGCTAAGGAACGTAATGTTGTTCAAAATCATGTGAAAGTGTAAGGGGGTAGGCCTAGTCACTTCAGTCACACTTCACCCTTCTCGTTCACTAGATCTAGGATCTAGATCTAGACTATGCTCCCTACTACCTAGCACCTTGTCGCCCCGGTCATGAAAGAAATCGCCGCCCCTGGTCGGTAGACTATTAGCCTAGCCTAGTCTAGGCCTAGACTCTACTTCTTATTTACAATTTTGATGACACTTGTCGGCAAGTTCATGTTTTTTTTTCGGAACGGACGCAAAAGACTGCAAAATTTGCCGATCTTTTGTCATATTTTACTAATTTCACCTCCAATTTCATACAAAATTCCGTCTCTCTCGGTAATTTTAGGTTTCTCTTTCCATCAGATCTAGATCTGGATCTAAATCTAGATCTAGGCCCGTAAAACCGCCAAACTTCGGACGTTGCCAAACTTCGGACAAAAATGACTTCAACGGCTCGAACGAACGCAAAATATGAGCCTAGCTCAGGCGGGTAACTTGCATGCATTTGATACTACTACTAACCTATATCGTTAGTACAAAAAGTTAGGGCAGGTTGCCGTCTGCAAAACTCACAAAAAACATCGAATTCAGAGACAGATTTCAGGTTACCTAGATTTTTACAGTTCCTTAACAGGGGAGTTAAGGTGTAGAGCCTCCAATATATCGATTACAAACAAATCCTTGGCATATTTCAGGTGGTTTCTGCCAAAATTATGGGAGCTTATGAGATACTTTTTCACTCTATCGCGAAAATTTTCTAATGGCGGCCGTTACCACGGACCTAGGGGTACTAGATAGATTCCCCTACCAGAAGATGGCGCTCTTCCAAACTTCGGACAGGCAACATTGAGTGTCATTTTGACTACGAAAAAATAGCGCTTTCGTAAGATTTCAGTACCAAAATATTGTACGAGTGTTGTGAAAAACACCTTTCCGATAGTTCTACCTAACTTAAATCTACCCAAAACGAGAAAATAATATTTTTTTTCATGAAATCAACGCAGTCAAACTTACCCCCGTCGTACGATTTTGATCCGGTTTCCAAACCTCCGATGAATGCGCACTTTAGCGCGCGCGCTGTACGTGCGATATACGTGCGCTATGCGCTATACGTGCACTATACGTGCGCTAAACATGAACGTCCGAAGCTTGGCAAGTGCGTCCGAAGCTTGGCATAAAAACAGGTTCGGCGGGTAAGTAAATAATTCTAGTTTTCCATTTCCTTTAGTAATTTTCTTTTACATGATATACATAAACAGTATTTGTACAATAATAGTATGTTTGATCTTTCAATAATTATAAAAAGAATTAAATGTTTTCCCCCGTTTTGACTTAAGTGTCCGAAGTTTGGTGGTTTTACTAGTCTAGATCTAGATCTATCTATATTATCTAGTGATATCGGACTTTCAAAATCTTACCGATTTGTTGAGATAGTGAACTATAGATCTAGTCACACCACCGTCAATAATAATACTAGGTCTAGAAAAGATCTAGATCTTGATTGATGAGGGTTATTATTAGATCTAGATTAGACTAGATCTAGATCTAGAGTCTATCTACATAATCTAGATCTAGATCTAGATCTATAGACTCTAGATCTAGATCTAGACTCTAGGCTATATTATTAATATGCCTAGACCTCTAGGATAGGCTATAAATGTCTAACTTGTTAGATCTAGAATCTTGGCCTATAGAATTCTAGATCTAGACCCTAGATCAAGATCTAGATCTAGATAGATCTAGATCTAGATGATGATCTAGATCTAGTAAAAATAACCCCCATCAATAAAGATCTAGACCTAGATCTAGTAGTCTAGTAGATCTACTAGAGCTAGATCTACCTAGGCTAGATCTATTAGACTAGACCTAAATCTAGTAAGCCTATAATAGTACTAGATCTATGTCAAGTAGACTAGGCCTACTATATAGGTCTAAAAAGTTAGAAGTCTACTAGGGTCTAGTAGTACTAGACTCTAGTACGGTACCTACCCCGAATTCAAGTACGTTAGTTGTTTAGTCTTGACAAACAGGTCCACCAAGGCTTCTTCGTCTCTGCCCCTCACCCCGGACACATGCAGCCGTTGTTGGTTTTCGGTTTGGTCTTCAAATAGAAGACTAAGCCCTCCAATTGTCTCTCCTGATTCAATTTTCCTGTCTGTGGTGAGTGCTGTCAAGGCGTGTAGTCTGATATGAACAAAGAACTGTTCATCCATAGCCCTGGTCTGATTCTTTGGCCTGGAGGCGGTGGTGATCTGAAAAGTGTTGCTCGTCTCTGCAGCATCGATAGAGATATCGATATCTCTCACTCCAGGTATCGATGGCAGCACTCCTTCGTAGCATTGTGACGTCATTCTTTCGGCTGATAGATGTGTGAAGGATGGAAGCTCCGGAGGAGATGGGGGGAAACTGAGAGATGAGTCTGAGATGATGAGAGTATCTAACATTAAAAAGTCTTTGAGGCAGGACCATAGTCCACTCGTCACGTCGGTAGTTAGAGTAGACCCCTCGAACGTTACTGTCCTAACCTGGTGTTCAGACAGAGAGAGAGAGATAATAGGAGAGAGGCGGGGGGGGGGGGGGCGGTGAAGAGAAAGAGAGATAGACACAAATAGTCAGAACAGTTGATGAAAATATCTATTTCATCTCTAGTCATAATCTGGCCTGTTCTTATATTTCATCTCTATAATATTATCTGCACTAACTTCGAGCCGCCCAAGATGGCGTTATCAACGAACTAGTACACCCTGCCTTTTCGCCGGGCGTAGAAGTCCAAATATAACGTCATCTTCGGCTTGCAGCACGTAGAGAGAGGTCGCGATGGTGAGGATTATCTTCAATTAAATCGGCCAGATTCTGAAATATCTAATGTCTTGTTTTGGTGGTAATCAATGAAGCAATCGAGCCTACGACCTGATCTTATTTGAGAAATGTATTTGCTAAATTAATGGAAGCTTCCTTCTCTACTTCTTTAAATTCATAAGTTAAAGATGTATTTTCTTCCATGTTAAATATAGAGATCCTTTGTTTTGCATAGGCTACTTGCTTTTGTTGACTGAGTCTCATCATTTTCCATATGGGCCTAGCATTATGTGTTTGCATTATTTTTCTCGTTTCTGGAATGCAGTACCTTGATCAAGGCCGTTATTTGGCAAAGGGAGAAGAGTTCAGACCATCACCAAGCTAGTACCTATACTTTGTCTGCTCTATATATTGTAAATATACTTGGGAATCCGAACTATGTGACTCATCGTTTTAGAGTTATAATAAATTATACTCTTGCATATTACACTTCAAAGAAAGTCTCAGCATCTCTTTATTTCATGTACCTCTCAATATTCCAATAGCTTACGACACCGATCTCCACCATGTCGTGTTGGGATCGGGGTGTTAAGTTATTGGCAGTAGGAGAGATACATATACAATGAAGAAGCAAGGAGAGACTTGTAATTCCTGAGTCATTATCAAGAGTATTTATTATCTCCAAACTTTGGAGACTCAAATCGGTCACATCATACAAACTTCCACATAATGTAAAACACAAGATGAAGAGAGAGAGCCAGCTAGAAAGAGGGTCTTGATCTAATGGATGATTTAAACTCAACTCCTCCCAGAAAGCCAGAACCTCTCATAATTATACAGGAGGACTCAAGGAATATGAGGGTAGGTTATATTGTGTCAAAGGGACAAACACAAGTCAATTCTCGCAGTCATCTAGCTAACACTGTTCTGGGAAATGGTTTTATCAAACAAAGGGGGCTTTGGTTATTGGGAGAAAGACAGGAAGTCTTTTGTTTTTGAGGTTTGGGGGCACTTTAAAGATGTATACAATTTGGGGTGTATTTGGCTGGAATAAGTTATTAAACAAATGTCTTGGAAGGAGGTCTGGTATTTCGCAGGGTGGGTCTTATCTGCATTGGGGCATACTGAGTGATATTACATATTATTACTGAGGGGGTGTAGACTTGTACTACCATTACATAACAATACCTGACGTTTAAGTTGCTTTGGAAGATTTTGCATCCCAACGACGGTGTAGACAGTCGGTGACTTTAGAACAATACTCTCTGCATTCACACATCTTTGAACCAACGAGGACACATTTTGTTGAGTACCCTTGGTCTCTGATGAACAGTCAAGGAGAATTCGATATCGTTCGCTCTCATCCAAAAAGCGGTTGGAAAGGAGCGTCTCCATTATTCGTATGCAAAGGCTGTTATCTGTGCCAGCAGCGAATCGGATGAGATTCTCATAGTCACCGATGTTTGCTTCGATGTTTCGCTGCAGTCTATCCAACTTAGAAATCTTCAGTCGTAACATATATTTCTTCGTTTTAGCAGCAAGGTACTTCCCAGCTGAGTGTTCCTGAACGAGTTTATGATAAAACTCAATGGTCGTGGATGTGGTATTATGGGATAGTGGAGCATTTTCGTTGGAATCGTCGTCTTAGATAAGATCCCAAGCTCACATGCCCTCCCAAGGATAGCGGGAACTCTTCGGAAATCATGGGACGTGAATACTAGTTTTTTAGAGTTGTCGATTAGACCAGCTAAAGCAACCTTACCCAGCTTACGAATGATTTTGATTAGTTCTTCTTTTGTTATTTCGTCTTTTTGATTTTGCTCGGGCATTGGCATGGTGCATCAGAAAGACATTCACACTGTCTAATAATTCTGTTTGCGTTGCAGTTTCAGTGTCCAAACGCTCTTCGCTCCATAAGTGACAGACCATGACAAAATAAAGGCGTTTTAACAAGTTCATTGATCAGTGGTTGGTCATCAAGGTAAACCTTCAGACCACGCCCACTATCAGGATTCGAAGTCGAAGCAAAGAACTTGTCGATGTACTCTCGTGAGCTCTCTTGCGAGAATCCTTCGATCCACATTTTAGTGTATACCCTCGGAAGTTCCGCTTGATTGAAGAAGTTCTCTAGGTGAGGGCGCGTCGTTACAAGGACTCTACACTCTGGAAATTCCTCCCAGCGGATGACACTGACAATGTTGCTCCCTAAGCTCCGGTTTGAAGAAGAAATACCGGCATACTCATCTAGTCCGTCTAGTATGATGTGACAGATTCCCTGATTCTCTCTAATGAAACTCTCCAGACCCTCTGGTGTGAGATCATCAACATCACTCAAAAGCTGGGATTTGATGGCTTCACCGATCGATGTAAGCTGCGTTGTGTTTCGGAATTTCACAACAAACAGAAGTGGCAGGTGTTTTAATGCTGACCCCTTTTCTCTGTGAACCCAGTCATAAGCCATCTTAGCGACAGCCGTGGTCTTCCCTCGTCCAGCCGGGGCCGAAATGAGGATTCGAGCTGGCAGTTCTCCGTTTACTTTCGTTGAAAATATTTCAGCAACAGAACCCTGGAGTATTTCCTTCTTTTTCGTGTCTTGTCCACGAGCATCCTTCTTCACCATTGTGACAACCGTGTGCATATCTTTGAACTCAGCATAATCACTTTGATCCCACGGTTTCATTTGAATTTTGCACAATTGATGTCGGTACTTTTTTCTCCAACTTTTCGCGACATCGCTGAACAGTTAATGATGCCGAGATCTTCTTACTGTATATACCTGTAATGATACAAGCATATTTAACACCAAATATGTTATTATACTCACATGAAGGCGCGTACACAGGGGGGGGGGGGGGGGGGGGGGGGGGGGTTAAACCCCCCCCCCCCCCCCCATTTGGTATTTGTATGTGTCTAAACCCCCCCCTCCCCCCCCCCCCCAACCCCCTTGAAAAAATTCTGTGTATGCGCCTGCTCACATGATATATCACCCCTTTGCAGGTTTTAGGGGGATGGTTTATTATCGTTGAAAGACAATGTACATGAATTCCGACGATTTGCCTCTTTGCCATAAGTAAAGGCTTAGAAACGCACTAAACGCTGCTGCTATCTTTAATTAGACTGTACAGATTTGCAGGAAAACTTTCTCTCCAAATCGATATTGAAAATCTTTGGTATATTTTTTCCCTTTTTGTTAAAGAACTTTTTCAAACAAAAATTGAGGGAGAGAGAGGCACGGGGTGAAATAATACTAGGCCTACCCTGTCATATACCATCTTCAAATTTAGTGCCAATGCCTAGTCAGTTCCCGGAGCCTCGCTACCAAAGGAATAAATGGATATTGCTCTAAATGTTACGTTCTTAAAACAATTAACGGGTGAAGGAAGTGATTGTTAGAAACCTAGCACTCATAAACCCACCTGGATCGCTTAGTGTCCCCTTGAGATGTGTATCAGCAAGCATTACTAGCTTAGCGTCAATGAGAGCTTGTTCCAGTCTGAGGTGCTGGTCGCAAGGCTTCACGGTCTGTCTCCAGTCAAACAGCATGTCACGTGTTCCCTTACAAGTCACCCGTCCTTCTATCCTATTGGTCTCCGTGTATCTATTGATGTCTTCGACCCTGAATCCGAGTGTTCGTCCTAAGGCCTCCATCTGCTCACCCGTCTCGATGTCTTCAGCCAGCTTGGAGAGAAGATCATCGGCAATACCTTTATGAGCCGCCATACCTTTCGGGTAAATAAACAAAAGTAAAGATTAAGAAAGTTATTATGAATATAGCTTTTGTTATAATGGAAAGTAAATAAATGTGGGATACAGGGCGTCCCAGAAAAAACGAAACGGGGAATTATCGATATTCTATCATAACTTAGACCCCGTTCTCACTCACTTCGTTGGAGCGCTCTAACTAAGACCCGCTCCTCAGGAGCGGTTCTTAGGTGAGTGAGAACGCTGAAAGTGGTCCAGGAAGCGGACTTCTGGACCGCTCCAGAAGTCCACCTTCCGAGGTGGTCTTGAGGAGCGGGTCTTATTAAGAGCGCTCCAGAGCGCTCTAACGTGCAATGTGAACGGAAAGCGTACTTTGAACGGAAGTGACGTTCCGCGCGATGAGCGATCGGGCAGGCACTACACATATACATGTATACGGGACGCGTCGCGAACGGGACATCAGGTGACATAGGGTTTGGATTCCGCGCGCGAAAAAAATGACCCGCCTACCTGAGCTGCCATAGCAACAAGACCACTTTGACTCGTGGAGCGGTTTGAGCCATAAAAACTGCTCGGAGTGTGAACGCTCGCAAACCGTTCCTCAAGACCCGTTCCTCTGGAGCGGTCTGGAGCGGTCTAACTAAGACCACTTTCAAAGTGAGTGAGAACGGGGTCTTAGTCACATTATGATCACTAAATGACACATATTTGGACAGCTTAGATCCTCCTCTTTCATTTGATGCAACTCATAGGATGCATATTTTACGCATGAGTGATTACAATGAATTTGATGAGAGAAAAACAAAAGTAATTTGGCGGACAGTATCTGAATTTCAAAGAGAAAATCACATTTCTAAGAAGTTGAGGTTCTGGCCTCTCATATGACACCTCAATCAGGAAAAATGAGCAAGGAATGGCAAAGTTCTATTTGTTTAAAGTAGTGCTTGCATTTCCATAATTTTATCAAAACGAATTCGTTTTCACTGGGTGCCTGCCATAACGACATGCAGAATTGACTCCGTTTCGTTGACGATCAGCCATGCATGAAGTCTTTCGCACGGCTGATTGGCAACAACATGGAGTTAAGTCTTTTTTTCAACTCTGTTGATACGGCAGGTCTGCAGTCATCGCTCTCAGTGTGTGTGCGAGGGAGGAGGCTTCGAAATGTTGGACTAACAGGTACCCTTCCTGTTAGCCGGGGCAGGGGGCCACGATGCCAAATTTCACAGGAATGAATTGCTCCTTATTTAACAATATGATCGTGTTTATTTTTATTGATATAAAGTTCCCCTTCTATTGTTAAATCTTGGTAACTTAATTTATATTTTCTTTTCACGCTCAAACGTTTAATAGCTCCTTTAAACTATCACTCTACTAATTTTGCTAAAAGAGGCATCTTCCAACCAAACAAATATCACCCTTAAATTCCTTTGCCCTTTTTAAACTTTAAAGACTGTCAAGGTAATCGTTTTCCCTTTTGTTTATTAAAGAACGTACAGGTGTACGCAATGAGAGACTTTTATAAATCGCGTACAAAATCACAATTCATGCCAAGCCAAGCCAGTGTTTGCCACGCTCTTCTCCTTAAAAAAAATTATATATCATAATCTCCGTCACATGTTCTTCTCATTCAAAGTAACCGAATACAGAGTTTACAGAGTTTATCGCCGCGCCGTTTGACCAATATTTCAGATAAACATAGTTTCTTTCGATAAACAGTTTTTATCGCTCGATAAACAATGTTTTTCGGCGATAAACAGTGTTTATCTGAGTTATTGGTCAAATGGCGCGCCATATCCGCCCCTGATCACTGAATCACAAAATGTATAAGCTATAGCGTAGCGAGCAAGCAATTTTTCTTCCTTCCTTTTCATATTTAATACTCCATTTCATTTCTCATTTTCCCTGATGTGTCGCGGATTTACCGTCATTAATTATATCGACAACGTCCCGACACAAAGTTATAGGCCTGTAGCGACTAATGTTACAGTGCATTCATTTATAATTCACTGGTATACATATTGTGTTTTTAATCCAAATGGCCGCTTTAGAAGTCATTGAGAGTTCGAGGATTTGGTATTACGCCATGTCCTCGGAACTGGTTTTAACTCGATTTATTACTGAACGATGTTTATTCATTAGTATTTTCATCACATGATGAATTAACATAGATGTACGCGTATTTATTCATAAGTATTTAGATCACGTGCTTAATTAACATACATGTGCGCGTGTTTTGAACCAATCGCGCTGTAGTTGTGATTGGCGCTCTCCTGATTTTCCTGTGCGGGAATTAGTGAGCTGTTTTAATATTGGTATACACACATGCTGTTATTGTGTCGATTATTGTACCTAGAAAATTGTATCCAACGAGGATTGAACTACTACGTCCCCGGACCATTCCCGGTGGACGTGCTCACCTATTTACATCTTGTACGTTTTACAAGATATATTTTGACTCTCTCTTGTGTTCTGCATTGGCGACACTATTTAATTCGCCGTGCAGTGAGAATAGAACATTTAATATGATCTGACGTTTTTCTCACCTGCATTAATTGTTTGACAACCTTTTATCATCGACTTCATATGATATATATTGTCTCGACATTTGATTCTTCGACCTGCATCGCAAGTCACTGAAGTTGATCTATTGACATTGACTGCATCATCATTGTCTTCATCACCGTTGTCTTCATCATCGTCGACTTCATCATCGCTGTCTTCACCAGCGTCGTCTTCATCGTCGACTTCATCATCGCTGTCTTCACCAGCGTCGTCTTCATCATCGTTGTCATCATCGTTGTCTTTAACATCGTCTTCATCATCGTGGTATTCACCTAGCGTCGATCATCGTCTGCATATCCTACGCGATCTACAACTAGCTCATCGACCACCGTTTTCGACTAGCTAGTTTCTACATCTATCTAGAACTTGAAGAAGATCTACTTTGAATTCAACTCCAATGACTCACGTAACGTTAATTATATTGTGATTTATGCATTGCATTGTTTATCATTGTGATGCCTTATTTTGACTGACTGAGTGTCTGTTGTTGAGTGCGTACGCTTACTAACACATATTTTACATGTTTATTATTGCACTAGTTCTAGGCCTATGCCTGGTCTATTAATCTAGATCTGCTATAGTCTAGATCCACCGATATATTGTTGTATTCTCGTGTTGTGCATTCCGTACACATACACAAGTAGAGATTTGTTTAGTGGTTTCTTGAACCACAATATTTCGTGCCTATGTAAGTAAATCTAAACGCTGTCTAGCTTAGATTTGAGTAGTATTTTCTTGACTTTTATTATTCATGCAGTGTGAATGATATTTAACTGATTTGTTTTAGTACTGTCTTAAGTTGTACTGAACAGGACTCCTGATATTTCGAGACTTGTATTAAGCGGTAATCATTAATACCATAGTGACTAAGTTGAGTCTCCTTTACATTAATGTGCTGTTGGAAGTTATCTATGTTTGATTATTAATAGTAACTACCAAGGGCCTAGTGATAGCTTAATTGTCTGTCACTGTTGAGATAGACAGAAGAGGTTTCTGATAATTCTGTAATCATTGTTTCTTATGTGAAATTATAGAATATAGAACCAGTTTTTAACCATAATCAATTTGTCTGGATGTGATCATTTATTAAGTGTTTTATTGTCTGGAGGGATACTGCTTTTTAGTAGTTTAATTAAAAAAGGAATTATGTGGGATTACTAGTTAACACGCAACATAGTCCATACCCCATGTAGTTTTCCAAAGGCCAATGCAAAAAATATGGAAATTAAATCTTCATATATTCTATTTTGTATCCCTTTTCCCTTGTCTTTACCTTTTTCTTTTTCTTCTATTGACCTTTTCTGGTCCATGTTTTCTTGTCCTTTCTTTTCTTTTCTTTTTTTTCTTTTCTTTTCTTTTCTTTCCTTTCTTCTTATCTTTTTTTCGCTGTATAAGGGAGCATTTGTAGATTACGGGGCACTCCTGCTACGTCTGTGGAATTTTACAGGGCACTTTTGGGGCGGAGCTGTCAGAGGAGCAATATTGTCGGCGGAGCAATTGTCAGCGGAGCAATGTCGGCGGAGCAAATGTCGGCGGAGCAAATGTCGTCGAAGCAACTGTCGGCGGAGCAATTGACGTCGGAGTAAATGTCGCGGAGCAAATGTCGCGTACCAATGGTCGCTTTCTGCGGAGCATTTGTCGGCGGAGCAATCGTCGGCGGAGCATGTGTCATGGATTCGTATTCAGACATAGAGAGAGAGAGAGGGGGGGGGGGGATTGCCATGTGACGGTACATGCAAATAGTGCCACAATGTCGTGTACCGCGATCAACATATACAAATAGCATTTAAAAAACGATGAACAAATAATAATAATACATCGCTTTGAAAATATTCTTTTATCTCTCTCTCCCTCTCTCTGTCTGCTAAACCCACCGAACAGTGGAATCAACAGAGCGGAATCAACCGTGACACGAATTATTATGAGTCACATATAGCTCAAAGAGAGAATTGCCACGTCATGGTTGTATTACATGTAGAGAATCAAAATGGGGAACGACTGTTGCTGAAATTGATCAACCTAGCGAGTTTCTCATGACCAGTTTAATACATTGGCCAGTAAATATGAAGCATAGGGAGCACTATCCGTCAAAAAACTGCACTAGAATGTTATCGTGACTTCAAGCCTTTTGGTATCAATTCGCAAAACTTGACTTCTGACTTCAATTGGAGTTATTGGTTTTCAAAAAAAGAGATTGCTTTATATTCTGCCCCAAATAATCAACATTTGTTTCTTCTTCATTACATAGTTATACGTACTGTTGACTTCATCATCCTTGTTTCCAGGTTTTTTTCTTCATTTAATTATTTTGTTTATTGTAGTAATTACTGTCTGGAATAAGCTATATAACGTTGTTAATTAGTGGCGTAGGGGGAGGGGCAAGAGGTCAAGTACATGTTTCCAACCGTATTTGAATAGACGATGGAAATATTGATAGCCTACCCCACCCTCAA